ATCTTATCACCCACCTCTCTGTAGTTCTCTCCTCTCCTAATCCTCGCTCTCTCACACTTTCCTGTCCAGCATCCCTGAGGACATATTCTCCCAGGGCTCTAGAATTTCCTTCAGCCCTGTCCTAAAACACTCTCCGGCATAAGAGTGACTGTCAGACCCATTGCCCTGGTCTCCCTGGTGGGTAGGTGTGGAGGCACCCCCAAGCTCACAAACAGAAATGGCTCACCGTAGAAGATCTATTGGGTTCAGTGCCAAATGAGCAGCTTTTCCTCCATCGACAAGTCACCTGTAGGGCCGGGATTTAGCTCAGTGGTTCTGCTGCCTGCCTTGCAAGCACAAGGTCCAGAGTTCAATCCCAGGTACCTTAAAAAAAAGAACAAGTCACCTGTAACGTCTAACATTTAAAATCTCACACTGCTGGTCATGGTGCTGTACACCTGTAATTCCAGTACTCAGGAGGCTGAGGCAAGAGGATCGCCACAAATTCAAGGCCAGCGTAGGCTTTCGAATGAGATCTTGCCTCAAAAAACCAAAATGAATAAATAAAATCTCACAAGCTTTAGAGTTGAAAATTATAATTTTCAATTGAAAAAGATTAATTTTGGGGCCTGGGATTTAGGTCAGTGGTTCCGCTGCCTGCCTCTCAAGCACATGGTCCTAAGTTCAATCCCCAGTACCAAAAAAAAAAAAAAAAAATTTTTTTCATTTTTATCCCTTTCTCATTATTTAATAGTACAAAAGTGCTTTATTCAAGTCTTCTATTCTAAGTGTCCCCTGTAACTGTAGGGGGAAAAAGAAGCTTAAAAAGAAATGACTTTTCCAAATTAATTCTGACCTTTATGGAAATGAATTTATGATTAAAAATATATCCCAGGAGCCAGGTGTGGTGGTGCATGTCTGTAGTCCCAGCACTCAGGAGGCTGAGGCAGGAGGATCGCTATAAATTTGAGACCAGCCTGGGCTACATAGTAAGTTCCAGGCCAGTCTCAACTACATGAGACCCTGTCTCAAAAAAACCAAAACCAAACAACAAAAAAATAAAAACAAACAACAACAAAATATATATATCCCAGGAGACTGTAAGGGGTTTCTGAACATTTCATTGATCATCAACATGAATACAGTGTGCCTTTCATGGGCTTAGCCAGACAGTAAGAGAATAAGACCCAGGCAGAGGCTCTTTCCATGTAGGCAGCTCAAGAAAAGCCAAAAGCACAGGCCTTCCAGTGGTTCATCTGGATCCGAACTCTGACCTCACCCATGACCACCACTGAGGTCAGGAGCTCAGTGGCATGAAGGGAAGTGACCAATCTCTCTCAGTCTCAGATTTCTCATCAGTAATAAAGGAAGTATAGGGCTGGGATTTAGCTCTGTGGTTATGGCGCCTGCCTCACAAGCGCAAGGTCCCAAGTTTGATCCCCGGTACCCAAAAATCGATAGATAGATAGATAGATAGATAGATAGATAGATAGATAGAGATAGATAGAGGAAGTATAATAGTAACTCCTACCTCAGCCTCCCAAGGTGCCAGGATTACACACATGTGCCACCATGTCTGCCTGGTTTGTGTATTTTTTAATGGTTTTGTTTGTTTGTTTGTTTGTTTGAGACAGGGTCTCACTACATAGTGAGACTAACCTGGAACTCACTGTGTAGCCCAGGCTGATCTCGAACTCATAGTGATCCTCCTGCCTCCACCTCCCAAGTGCTGGGATTACAGGCGTGCGCCACCACGCCCAGCTAAAGAATAGATTTATTTATTTATTTATTTTTGGTACCAGGGATCAAACTCGGGTTCTTGTGCTTGCGAGGCAGTTGGTGGAACCACTGAGCTAAATCCCAGGCCCTTTTTTAAATGTTTAAATGGAAAACATAAAAACAACAACAACAACAACAAAAAAAAACCAAAAAAAAAAAAAAAACCACAAGATTGAAGATAGCTCAGGTAGAATATTGCCTAGCTTGTGTGAAGAACTGGGTTCAATCCCCAGTACTACAAAATAAAAAAAAACCCACAGAAAGCCTGTAATCCTTTAAAAACAAAGCTATGCCTGGGGATTTACCTTAGTAGCACTGTGCCTGCCTTGGAAAGTGCAAGGTCATGAGTTTGATCTCTGGTACCAAAACATAAATAAATAAAATAATAAAAACAAAGCTATTCCTGGGTTGCATATCAGCTAGGGAGCTGCTGGGCTGAAAAGCACACCTGGGGCAATAACAGGCCTTTCCACTGAGAACCAGATCCTACCAAGCAAGTCCTGGACTCCAGGAACCAGGAGCATATGGCTGACAGCTGGTGACACGTGAGTGGGATGGTGTCGATAAACTGGCTAAGGGTAAGCTCTGAGTCTCAGCTTCTTATGAAATGGCAATCCCAACACCCTGACTGTTTAACAGTGATTCAGGAAAATTCTGTAATATCCTGGGCATATTTCATTTTGCCCAGTTATGCTGGTAATGAACATTATAGCTTCTTCTGGCTCAGATAATACTTTGCATTTAGTTGTCACGTTTATTATTCTTAGTTTAGAACAGTGCTGCCAACTTTGTGTTTTGTTTCCTCTGACACTGAATCTTGGAAGCATCCTTGCATTCGTCTTGTAGAGTATATAAAGACTAATTAGGTAACAGTATTATTTTATTCATTTATTTTTTGGTACCGGGGATCAAACTCAGGTCTTTGCGCTTGCGAGCCAGTCGCCAGAACCACTGAGCTAAATCTCCAGCCCAACAATATTATTTTAGACTGGTGTAAAGCCAGGGTTTATGGACATGAGTTTGGGGGCTGGATTTTCTGGGCTCAAATACTCTGTCCTTCTCTACTAACTATATAAATTTAGCCAAAATATTATACCACTCTGTGCTTCAATCACATCTCTAAAATGAAAAAAATAATAGCACAAAACATGTACAAAGTGTTCAGGACATTGCCTGCACAACAAATGTGCGCTGTTACTATAGAAGTATCATCTTTCTTGTAGGACCTAAGTTTCAAAATGTGTTTTAGCTAGGAAAAAAATTCCGTTTAATAATAAATTTCTTTTTTGAGCTAGGGTCTCCCCATTATTCAGATTTTTGGAGACAGGGTCTCACTGTATATCCCAGGCTGGCCTTGAACTCACTCTAGATAGCCCATGTTGGCCTTGAACTCAAAGTGATCCTCCTTTTGGGTCTGGTGGCCCATACCTGTAAGCCCAGCGCTTAGGAGGCTGAGGCAGGAGATTCACTGGGACTTCAAGGCCAGCCTGGGCTACATAGCAAGATCCTTTCTCAAAAAACAAAACAAAACAAAAACCCCAAAGTAGGGCCAGGGATTTAGCTCAGTGGCACCGTGCCTTGCCTTGAAAGCACAAGGTCCTCAGTTTGATCCTACATACCCTCACCCCCACAAAAAAACTCCAGTGATCCTCCTGCCTCAGCCTCTCGAGTGCTGGGCTACTGCTGTGCATCACCACGCCTGGCTTGATCATTAAGTGATTTTTATCTCAGTACTTATTAAATAGGTACAGTTATGTTGCTACAGTTAGAATTAAATAGTCTGTAGATGGAAAACTAAGTTTTAAGATATCATCTCTGAGTTGGATTTAGTGATACATCCCAATAATTCTAACATTCTGTGGAAGTTGAGGCAGAAGAATCACAAGTTCAAACCCAGTCTGGGCAATTTAGTCACTTAGCAAGACCCTGCCTCAAAATTTTAAAAAACGGCTGGGATGTAGCTCACTGTGAGGGCCCTGTAGAGTAATGCAAAATAATCCCTGGGCCAGGGATTTAGCTCAGTGGTTTCACCGCCACCTGCTTCGCAAGCACAAGGGCCAGAGTTTGATCCCTGGTACCAAAAATAAATAAGTAAATAAATACTCCCTAATCTCAAAGAGTTTCAGCATGAATTTACTAAAATATTCGAAGGAAGCTGGGTGTGGGGGCTCATATCTGTAATCCTAGCATTTTGGGAGATTGAAGCAGGAGAATCTCAATTTTAAGATCAGACTGGTCAATTTATTTCTTTATCAAGACCTGTCTCAAACAAAAACAAAACACTTTGCTGGGGATGTAGTTTAAGGCAAAGGCCCTGAGTTCAATCATTTATATATATATATAAATTTTCCCCCCTCAATGAGTGCAGTGCCGGTAACCTGAGTGAGCATGAAGGCCACATGCTACAGAGCAGAAGAGGAGGTGGTCTGCGTCTACTGGACTAGCTGAAGAAAGGATACAAACTGACAAGTGCGAGCAGAGGAGACAGGCACCATTCTAGACAGACACAGACCCCTGGAGCAAAGGAGTAATACACGGTGAAAAGGTGAGGGTCGTGGAAAGGAGGGACAAATAGCTAAGGTGAGACCAGATTTTGGGTGATTTTTAAAGTGATCTTTATGCAGGATGTCAAGGAGAGCCGTTTTAGTCTGAGAAAGTGGTCTTGGCCAAGTAGGGAAAAATTGCGGGCTCAGCCTGTGGCAAAACAACCCCCAAAGTGTAAAAGTACTTTGCCTTTCACCTGGACTTGGTCAGCTACGTGCCCGCTAGTGGAAAGGTGGGGTGTTAGGCAGCAAGAGGCCCAGAGATCCACCTGGAAACCAGGCGCACAGCAGGTCGCCGTTTTACCCAGTCACAGTTACTGTTCACAAGTTACAGAAACCAAGTTCACGAAGTGTCAGAAGGAGCTCCCTCACCGACTACAGCATTGAGCTGGAGCCGGGCCTAGCTTCACTGGGTAAACAGGACAGGAAAGGGAGAGTAGTGGGTGAGAAAGTGAAAGCAAGCGGCAAAGGTGGGGAAGGCGACCGGCGTGCCGGGGACGGGGGCGTTGCGGGCAGGCACTCAG